AAAGCAAATCACATCAATAGAGTTGGCTTGGAGGTTAAGCTTTCAGATTATGAAGTGTAGCCTCTGTGGTGTCAGAATGTAAGTTACTGGATCGATCCTTGATGGGTGCTCAAGTCGAGGTTGTGTGAATGATGGCCTGGATGTAATAGTTGCATGTAACATGATGAAAAATAGTTTTAGGATAAACAGCCACTCTCATAGATTGGCTGTCTTTGTACACACAAGCTGAACACATATTCAGCAACAACAATCATCTTATTCCTACAGTCTAAGGATTACAAGGCTTGTGTGATAGTATGATAAAGTGACTTGTCCAAGGTCACAAGGTGCCAATGTAAGGTTTAAACCCCACATCTTCAGGAAGTCTCCCATGGCTTCTCTGGCCTTCAGAGTACTTAACTTGCAAGATGTGGCCCCTTCACTGGTAATAGCCGGCACAGGGATTTGAACCCATGCCCTTCTGAAGTCTCCCATGGCTACATTGGCCGTCAGAGTACTGAACCTGCAAGCTCCAGCTGCTTTATCACTTGATTATGTAATTTTTTGGTACATGAATTTCAGTGACAGCTGCCTTTATGCCACGCCTTGAAATTTACACTCACCACAGGGCACTGACAACAATAAAGACGTTCCATTGGTTCTAATGCTTCAGTTTCCTGATGGAGACAACAGTAGAACATACTGTATCTAAGTTGTAGGTGTCAGCACAAGCGCTTGTGATCTCCACCAGTGAACACATACAAAAGGGTGACAATGCAGGAACATAACTGGGAAACGGTTGTCACCCCATAACATGAAGTAGTGGAACTAGGACTGTCATGAACATGGTGCCAGCCTTCAGTCTAAGGTACGCTGTCTAGCTAATACGCATGGGCATGCACATTTCTATGAGCATAGACGATAGAGTACACATTCATTATTGCCATGGATGTGTGTGCGTGTCTACTGCTACCAAGCAGTCTATTTAAACTTGAACTCTTTGCTGTATGGTCTTCAGTCTTGTTCCTGTGATCCAGTCTTGATGCACATCCTTGATCCTGTTTCTGACTTGGCTTTCTCTTGGATTACCCTTGCCTGCTCGTGTTTGCCTCCACTACCAACCCCAGCCTGGACTACTGAGCACTCTTCTGTCCAGTGACTCTGTACCTCACAGCCCAACTATTGTACACTTCTAAAATGTCAGTAGAAACAGCGCCAACAATCTACATAGAAAAAAAAGCAGCACTCCTGACCAAAGAAAGGTCCGTAATATAAGCAAATAAAGGAATGCGCTAAATAGTGAATAAACACCAAAAAATATTAAATAAAAATAATAAATAATAAAAATTCAACATAATGTCCGTGATTATATAAGTCCATCCACCATCACAAGTGATAATTGATTCTGCAATCTTGTATAAATCAAACAAAAAACACCGTGCAAAAAATCCACCACCGAATGAAATGGATAAACTCACCAGAGCTATATGCTGATCAAATTATAAATCAGCAAAATAGCATTTGCTCTGGGAGCGATGATCTGCAGAAGTATGCAAAGTGGGAAGCAACATACTGCAAGTAGCCAATCAGCACAACATGGAACAACCTTAGCAGCAGGTAATCATCATGTCTCTATAATCACAGGTAATGCTCGGGGAATCAAAAAGAATATAATGGTGCAGTACGTTTAAAACAAGTATGCTTTATTTAAAACATCGGGTATGCACTCACAAACAGGGTGTCCAGCCGACACCAGCATTGACAGCCTCGAGAAAGCAGGGACGAGCCTTGCTCACCGCGATAACACAGCCGACAGTCTCGAGGAGCGTCCTGACGTCACATCCACTAAGCCCCGCCCTACGCGGAGACGTGAGGACTTTGGATGACGAAATGCGTAGGACGGGGCTTAGTGGATGTGACGCCAGGACGCTCCTCAAGACTGTTTGTGAGTGCATACCCGATGTTTTAAATAAAGCATACTTGTTTTAAACGTACTGCACCATTATATTCTTTTTGATTCCCCGAGCATTACCTGTGATTATGGAGACATGATGATTGCCTGCTGCTAAGCCTGTCCCATGTTCTGCTGATTGGCTACTTGCAGTCTATTGCTTCCCACTTTGGATACTTCTGCAGATCATCGCACCCAGAGCAAATGCTATTTTGCTGATTTATAATTTGATCAGCATATTGCTCTGGTGAGTTTATCCATTTCATTCGGTGGATTGGCTTCAGTGTTCAGAAATCAGTTTTGTACACATTATTCTGTGAAAAAGCATCTCAGTATTAGAGGTATGGTTGTTTCCATACACTAAACATTATATTATTGTAACATTCCACTTATAGCTGCCTTCCATTGCCCCCTGTTTCGCCACCGATACTTAGAAAAAAAAATACTTGGACTAGTAACCGCTATAAAGGTGGTGAAAATATATAAATACATCATTTAGGTTTTTTTTAATAGAAAATATTTAAAAAAAACAAAGTTATATAGGCGTATCACAAAAATATGTTTTTTGTTAGAGATATGTATGTATAACTGAAATTTGACATTTTATTAACTAGACTAAACAACACTAATGAAATGCAATACCGTACCTTTTACAAACTTCAGGTGTCACTGTTGCAGTTTATATATAAAACATGTGGCTAAGAAAATGATCTCTCATTTCTATACCAGAGATATATTTTTGCAGATTAAAATGGAAAGATAAAGATGATATGACTGTTTCTGAAGAAACACCAGAGGTGCGTGCATGCATGTAATAGCCTGGCATGTATGGTGTCCTTGTACTACCTTAGCTGCCCTACAAACATTAATGGATTTGAATCTAGGTTCCTTAAAGCTGAAGTCCAGAAATGATCTGTATTGCATACTTACATTGGTTCGTCATGGCACAATGTAAATATGCATATCTCATACCTAATGGGCCACTGGGGAAGCTGAAAATCACCATAGTAGTCAGTGTTACTACAGTGATGGCTGCGATCTTCCAAGTCCTGCTTGGGTTTTGTGCAAGTGGCATCCCTTTTGTACACTGACCACAGGGGTCACTCGTTTGGTGCTACCGCCATTCATAGAAAGCATTGTTTTTTTTTTTTAAATGAACACAAGGCATACTCTGATTGGACAAGGTGGAGATCAAGAGATCAACACGCCTCCTCTCTACCTTGTCCAGTCAGAGAAAGCCTTGTATGCATAGAAAGTTCTATTAATGGTGGCATTGGAAAAGTGAGTGACCCCTGAAGTCAGTGAGCAATGGGGAAGTCACTCACACCAACCTAAGCAAGACCCAATCAAACCAAACCAAATCAAAACTATGACTGTAGTAGTAGCAACTACTACTGTGATTTTCAGCTTCCCAGTGGCCCCTTAGGTATGAGATATGCATACTTACATTGTACCAAGTTGAACCAATGTAAGTTTGCAATACAAATAATTCCTTGTGTTCAGCTTTGAAGTACATTTAAAGCCTGAACATTTTTAAGTTTTGAAAAGAATAGTTGATGTCAAGTTATTTTTGGGGAGATTTTCCTCACTTTATGTCTTTGTGGCACAGGAGGAAAAGAGAGACATTTTTTCTAATAGTAAAGCTCTCCTAGATAGTAGACACTAGAATAAGTGTCCCCATTGGCAGATTCTGCTTTTATTTCCTGTTCTATTGACAACACACATTTTGGAACAGTATCCACCAGGCCAAACAGAGAGAGTGAAGCCCCCCATTGGGAACACAGACACAATAAAATCCTAACAGAAGTTTTAACCTTTCTCCACAGTATCCAAAAAAATAATTCACTGCCATGAAGATCTTTGTTCAGACACTTTCTGTTATAGTGTGAACATGCTCATTCCATCTCCCAATCTTTCTGCTGCATTGTCAGCTTGGCTTATGTTCTGACAAAGGAGATTACAAGTGTGGGCCATTGTGGATTGCAAAGACATGGATAGTTCATGGTTGTCACCATAAGAAAACATGTTCTGGGAAATTATGTGCAAACCCTTCATATGCAAAGCAAAGTACGCATTTCCTAAAAGAAATATGGGGACTGCCAAACTAGGGTCAACATTAAAGCCAGTCAACTAGCATTTGCAGAATGAGAAGTCAGCAGTGGCAGTCTTCACATTTCCCTAAGGAAAGGTTTCCTTCAATAGTTAAACTTCAATGGCTTTTATATTCAAATAATAAGAAAGAGAGAACATTTTGGCAAGATGAAAAGACAAAACGTAGTATAAAGGATTTTAAGGTTCTGTGCTCTTACCTAATCCCCTTTCTTTTAAATGAGCACAATTGGCAGCTACACGATAATGCAGATTTACAAGATATGCTGAGACAGTTAAAATAAGGGGGAGTGTGAAGAAAGAACAAGTCCTCAACTCCTGTGAATCCTCAAGCAATGCCTTTTATCTACAACCACGCGACTGCTGCACACAGGCCTGTATTCATGGGGAAGTCAAAGGTTTGGATTTAACAGTGTTTAAAAAGCAATAATATCTTCTGAACACATTTATGTTATAAAGTGGAAGGGACAGAGGGCAACAACCTTTAAACACATAATACTCTATGGCTTATGTGTTACACCATACTGATCTTACTGCAGTGAGTGGCTGATAAGGTCAATTAGGCAATCACAAGCACAAGGACCTATTTATTGGATGAAAACTGGGCAAACATGTGGTCTAAAATACTTTATAAAATAAATTAACCTGATCAGTCAGGTTTTTTTACCATAGTATAAATCTTCTGGCAGTATAAAAGTTCTTTGAATCATGAGATGTTTTCTTGTGAATCCTGATAAATAGTGGAGGGATAAGGCAATGAAAGACCTTAGCAGACTGATCTAAAGACAAAAGGGGGGTGTTTATTGTGTACTGAGGTATGTGTCACAAGATTAAAGCCCAAACTACAGGCAAAACATTTTAAAATCACCCAGCAGGTGCTTAAAATTAAACAAACAGCTCTAGGTGCAATACTTACATCTATCTTCAGTGCGCTCCCTAATAGTAAGTTCTTTTCTCAAACGGATGTCCTCAGTATTCCCAGACTGAAGACTGAGGACCAGGGCAACTGACAACTCATGGGGCCCCCGGGCAATAGGGGATCATGGGCCCCTGTGTCCTTGCCCAAACTCAAAAAAGCCTATGAAAAAGGTACCAGGGGCATCTCATTGGGCCCCCTACTGACCCTGGACCCTCGGGCAGTGCCCGAGTTTCCAAATGGTCAGTCCTCCCCTGCTGAGGACATCCTGTGAGTGTAGGGCATCATAGACCTGTACCCTAAAAGGGGTTTCACTACGGCATCCTACACTCACATACAGCGATACATAACTGAAATCAGAGCCTCCCTCTGCATCACTGAGGCCCATCCAGTGGCAGAAGATGAGGCAAAGACTAAACAGTCACTGCGCATGTGACTGGGATGAAGACATCTAAAAAAAAGGCAAGTAAAAAAACACAAAAGCAAAAAAAAGTCATAAGGGTAGTGGAGTTATCTCTGGGGGGGTAGGGTACTAGTGGCAGGACAGATGAGCCCAGAGTTGTGCTTTAGGTTCAGGTGGTGCTTTGCAGTTTCATTTAAATGACTGGGCCTGACTGTTTTTCTTCAGTACAAAGTCTTATATTAAAATGATTGTAAATGCATTTAAAAAAAAAATAACAAACGGGTTTATACTTACCTGCTCTGTGCAATTAAATTGCACAGAGCAGCCCCAAACCTCCTCTTCTCAGATCCCCCACCGGTGCTCCTAGCTCCTCCTTTTCCTGCTTCCTGCTGGGGCACTTTTGCAGGCTCACTCCGGAGCCCTGCTGCCTGCATCTATAGAAACAGACAGCAATACTCAGCCCCAACCTTCGTTCTCTCGTCACTGGCTTTGTTTGAGAGCCAATGGCACCTGCTGCCTTAGCAAAGCCTGTGAGACCAGGAAGTGAGGGAGAAAAGAGCTACAGACAGGCATAGTGCTGGATCGAATGGGGGCTCAGGTAAGCATAAGAGTGAGGGGGAAATACTTATGCCTAAACATTTTTTTACCTTAATGCAAGGAATGCATTAAGGTAACAAAACGTTTAGGCTTTAAAACCACTTTAAAAGCACTGGGATTGTTACATAGCAAAACCTCTGCAATTTAAGATATATTTGGAATACAACATTTTATTCTTAATGATTTTCTTAAAGGAGATCGAAAACCATAATAAAACATTATTAGAGATGTGTTGATTACAGGACTAGCAAAAGTGTGCCATGTCTAGGACAGAAAACAATTACCAATGGTATTAAAGTAGAACTGCACTGCATCTGAGCACCACAAACCAAAAATGCTATTTAACACATTGTTAATATTCAAAGCAAACTCACCTATTCATCCATCCATGTCTCCATGCTTTATTTTGCTGAGAATGGCCATCTTGAGTAAGGGCAGATGATTGATGTAACATTTACGTCCTGGAATCCATCTGCTCCTAACTCAGGCATTGATTGAGCTGAGAACCCTCCTGCCCTTCTTGAAGGCTCCTGGGATGTGTGACATCATTTGCCTGGGCATGGAAACCAGGAAGTAACTGAAGAAATGGAAACAAAAACGTTTAAAACAAGTAAATATGATATTCTTTCCTATCAATTTACTAATGCTAGCTGCATAAGGATTAAAAATAGTCAGTGTTGATTGAGAAAGTGAAGTTCCACTTTAATGTGCAATAGGTGTAGAATTCAGCAGCATATGGAATGTGATGTATAGCACAGCATGGTATAGTGTAGTGCAGCAGTTTGTGGTATGTGCTGTGCCACATTGGCAGCAGTCATTGCCAAAGTACACTATAAACATACCAAAGCAATGCTAAAGATAAGAGAGGAAAGGTAATGTATTGAGCTTGTAGCTAGAAGTCTTGGGGTACAGGAATAAACTTTAATACTCACATTATTTCTCACTCTGGCAGGCTTTTATCCAACCTGCATAACCGGTCTACCAAAACTTTTCCTCTAAGTTGCTCTCGTTGGCAGTCATATTCTGATGTCATCACATAAAATGCAGGACCAATAATCCTGCATTGTACATGAAGATGGTGAGGTCTCACCCCCAAACCAGAGCTTAGGAGAGAACTGGTTACCACTGGAAGCATGCCAGAGCAAGGAATAAGGTAAGTATTACACTTTACTTCACTACCCCTAGACTTAGAGTGGAACTATACTCACCACTGCTACAGTGATGTGGCATCTTGGAGAGCCCCACTGGCTCCTGATATCTTCTAGCAACTGGCTTCCGGGTGCCAACCGCTTGCCGCTTTTACTGGCCATGCCAAAAAGACGTCACTCTCGTGCATGTGCAGGAGTACAGTCAGATTCCGCATTGCCAGATAAGTGCAGTAAGCTGTGCATGTGCAGGGCAAACAGGCAGGGGGTAATTTTAATGCAGAAGAGACTAAGCATGTCTCTTTTGCATTACAAATCCTGCCTGTTCAAGCTCAGAATTGGAGGAAATATTAAGACATCGTGTGGAAAAACATACCTCCATCCAATATACTCACCTTCTTTGAGTGTGCACCCGATTTGTCATTGCTCCACCACCGTTGGGCCTGTGATGTTCCAGGGTTGGACTCTAAGGATTGGGATGATGTATGGGAATTTCCCTTTAAAATACTGGTGTCCTAGAGATACCGCCTCATACAATTTAAAAGTGTCCATAGGGCCTACCTTACCCCTTACAGGTTGCAAAATATGAACCTCTCTTCTTCTCCAGAGTGCTGGCGCTGTGGCTGATGCTCGGAGACTTTATACATATTTTCTGGACCTGCCCAGCAATTGCTACTTTCTGGATGCAGATAATGTCTGTTGTTAATCTTATAGTGGTTATCCGTTTAAACCCATCGCCTCGAGTCTGCTTGTTAGGTTTAGTGGAGGACCTAGTTCCTAGGGTGGCGGACAAGACGCTTGTGGGTCTTTTATTGTTTTACGCCAGAAAAGCCATCGCTCTGTACTGGAAAAAGCGGGCTCCCCCTTCCCTCACTTTCTGGAAACAACAGGTTAATGCCATCTTACCTTTGTACAAAGATACTTATCTGCATAGAGGGTGTCCTAAAAAATATAATAGAGTCTGGGCAAAAAGGTTAGCTCAACGCTCAACAGCTACCGACACCTGATCCCTTCTGTCCATCCTGGAGCCTCATTTTGATTGTTTAGGGGGGCCTCAGGTACTGGGTATGATATGTCTTATTGTCTTAACTTGATGGTCACGAACAGTAGCACCTGTTTTATGTTTCTTTATTGTTTTACTGTATGTTGCTATGATTGCAGGCGGAAACTCTGACATCCAATTTGTTATGCTTTTTACTGAGATGCACCTATGTGGGTTAGTGCCTAAAAATGTACATGTTTTTGTTTAGTAAATGTTTCTTGAAAAAAAAAAACAGTAAAAAGAGTTATTTAAAAAAAAAAATCCTGCCTGTTCACCCAGTTTGGTTTTGTTCATAAAGTTCCACTTTAACAGGCATTTAACATTTGCAGCATGGGAGGGCCCAACTGAAACGGTATCCTTTTTGTAATTTCCATAGTCCAGCTTTACAATAAATCCTACCTATTCCAGCAATGTTCAAAACTTCCCTACTGGTTCTTTTTTTTTAACTGTGTATCCCTGACCCATTCATGCCTCTAGGTGAGATTTATTTTACTGGAAAGCTGGAGGCTGCACTAAGTAAGGCTTACCCAAAGGACCCAATGGGGCCACAATTGGTATAGATAGTAAGCAGATGACACAGCAGGGGCATTTTTGTTAGAAAGGCTGTGCAATGCTGGGTGGGGCTCTACAGTGAAGATAGCTGGAATGGGGAGAAAGGCAAGGATTTTACCAAGTGGGCTGAACCCAAGAGGGTTGGGGAATTAAAGAGCTAAGAAGGCACAATTATTCTTTAAGCTGTCCAAATGTTGATAGGACGATGGCTCTGCAGGCACAATCCAATTGCTCTGTGAGTAAGCTATTTGAGAAAAGCCACAAGCACACCATGAGTTTGTTAGGCTGGTTCTGCTGAGCTTACATGTGAATGGCAAAGGGGAAGGGGGGGGGGGGGGGGCACAGAGTGGGTTTATAAGGAGGTTAGGAACATTAGTGTTTTATACCAGGATTGCCAACCTGCATAAATGACTGCTCCTCCAGGCTTGAGGACCACTCACAGACATGGGATCCTCATCAGATCCAGTTGAAAACTGCCAAATCAGTGACCATCATCACATGTCTATAAATACAAGTTTACCAGGCTGCCCAGACTAAGTGAAAACAAGAAACTCTTTGTGTATCTCAGACACATGGTAGGCTTGGTGACTACACTGTCTGCTATACTTATATCTATATCAGGAAGAATATACAAATGTATATCAAAGCATTTAAAGCTAAACTCCAGGGAAATATAAAAATACATTTATTGCAGTTACTTAGTCATTAAAAAGTCACTGAATGTAGTTCTAAATGCAACTAGGCTAAGGATTTGAATTTGTCTTGACATAAGCCCCTTTACATCAACACACAGGATGTAAGGGGAAGGACAACGCTAGTGACCACTCAGTTTCTGCACATGTACGGAGAGCAAACATTCTTACAGAAGAAGGAAGTGTGAACACAAGGATGACTTAATCAGTAAGCTTCATTGTGGGTTCTTGACCAAGCTTTACGTCTTCACTGAGGGCTTAGCTGTGCTGTCTGTTAGAGATGCCTGAATCAGAAGACTGGCTGCACAGAAATACAATTCCTTTAGCAACTAAAACAGCTCTGAAAAATATGTATATCAACTGAGTATCTTCTGTTCCATTTTAAACGTGGCTATGAAATTTAGAACAGTAAGCATGTGCAAATAAGAAATTTGTAAAATTCACATAACACATAATAGTTTTAGTTAAACTTTGTAATAGGAACTTAGTAATTCACTACAGTCTCCAAAAAAAAGCAGCCATTTAGGATTGTTGGGATAGGATGCAGAGAAGTACAGTTGTATAAAATATATAAATATATATGTTAGATCAGTGGTGTATCATCCAAGGGTGCAGGGTGTTCACTGCACATGGGCCCCGATGGTTAGGGGGGCCCACTGTGCTGTGAACACCTTGCACCCATGGATGAGATGTATCAGGAGCAAAGTCCCTTACAAGCAGCGATCTCCCTGTATGGCTTTCAATGAGGCAGCTGGAAGCTGATTCTTCTCCTCCCTCCTGTGGCTTCCAGCTGCTTCATTGAAAGCCATACAGGGAGATCACTGCTTGTAACTGCCCCA